GCAGCAGCTGTGGACTGGAATTTGGGGATCCGGATTTCAGCGTCGTTTTGAGCATGCACACGTATATACATACACAAGCTACCTTTTTGTGTGCTGGGAATTTGCAAACATCCACATTAGCTAGCGAGATGCCTGTGAGTTTCTATTCTGCAATATTAGACCAACCCGCTGTTACCTTATTGAAGGGTTCAGTGTATGAGAAACGGAAAGCGGAGGAGCAGAGCCGTCCCGAGGGTCACGCTCATGTCCACCACTGTGCCATCCAGCTGGCTGTCTGAAAAAGGTGTTTGTGAGAAAGCCTTTGTTCATACATGCTCTTTACAAGTAGTAGAAGGTTTTCGATTGGAAATTATATTAGGGCAGCACTGTCATGCTTTGCAAAGAGATGAGAAGGGATTTCAAAGGCTAATAGGCAGAATCGCATTAATTGGGGAGGGAAATTCTTTAAGGGCCGGAGCACTGACTGAACATTGCCTGAGCACAGCTTTAACGCTGGCCCACAGCGCCGCTCGCTCAATTAGTGAGGAAAGCAAATGTCCAGCGTGCTCTGTGAGAGGCTGCCAGGAGAGATACTGGCAGGTTCTTTGTGTTGCAGGATGACAAACTGCCTGATGCTTCAGGCTGTGCTTTTTACCCTTGAGAGGACCCGGCTCTTGCTCTATTTACCCAAACCTGCCAATTTGCTGAGGGTTGAAAAAGCAAAAGGGCTTTCTTTGCTTTGAGGATCTGCCTTCTCTGTTTGGCTGACTTCCTTCCCCAGCTTAGCAAATGCTGTTGTTTGCAGATGTCACAATAGAGTCTTGGACACAAAGCTGTTTTGAGGTTGTGAGAAACAGCCAGAAACACCCTTGTTCAGTATCATTGTCCAAATCATGGCTATGGGGTTTGAGGCCACTTAATCGTGGGATCCATTCCCAGGCAGAGGCTAGGTGTTGGTGAACAAGTTTTAACCTAGACCCATGGTTCCATTGCCACACACCCGTATAAAGAAAAAATTAGTTGTCATGTGTCGTTTGAAATAATTGATATTGATGGTTATAGCCTCACTTATTTTTTGGGCCCATTTCAGGTTTGCTGATTTTAAAATTAAAAAAAATATATACATATATATATGTATGTATATAAGGCAGAAAGGTT